TCTACCTTAAAAAATCTCACTAATTTTAGTATTCTAAGGATGGCTAGGGTCCAGGAGAACAATCGAAAACTATAGCATAATAGACTACGAATCATATTGTTATTTGTATTTATTGTCCTATTGCATTTATTGTCCTATTGGAACAAAACAATTTGCTATTTCACAAATAAATATTGTTGACAAAAGAAAATTTCTTAAAATTTTATCTATGTAGAAAACTTATCAAAAGATTTCGTAAACAGGAAAATTTTAAGAGTAATCTAAATGTAAATAAATATAAATACACTGATTATTATCAGTAATTAAATATTTATTTATATATTTTACATTAAATTCAATTGAAAAATTTATAATGATTGCATCAGTTTGATAACTGTTGATAGTGTATTTTTAGACATTCATGTAGGAATATACAAAAAAATGTGTTAAATGGCATATGAGGTAATATTATTTTTCCAAAATATTTATACTAATAAACACTGTTTAATTAACATTATGTGTAAAAATAAATTATTGTTTTTATATAACATAATAGAAAATTTAATTCCAAACAATTAAAACAAAAATTCCGTATACACTATTCGCATGCTGAAATGTTTTAAGTGTTTATAAGTCTATCAAACTTTCGTGTAAGTATTGGTACTATTAATACTAGTCTACATGTTAACGTATTTGAAAAGAAAAATCTTATTTATATCAGCATTGTTACGTTTATACAAGTTTACACGTTCTTATATACTGTAATTAATTGTTTTTTAATTACACATTTTAAGGAGATTAATGAAGGATAACCCGAATTCTAAGAAATATTGTCGAAATTGTCTTACTGGTTTCCAAAACGAATACATGAAGAATTTTTGATCTAATAAAGAATACATTACTTCATTAGATCAAAAATTATCTGTTTCAACATGAGAAGAAGAGATTGCTAAACATATGAAAAAGCACTTCATCTTCCAAGTGGACGATTATAAATTAAAATAAATCATTTTTTTTACATTTTAAAGATTGCCACGTAATTTTTTCTTCTTAAAGTAATTTTATAAATATGGCGACTTTAACAATCAATTTTTTGTACTTATTTTTGCTCTTTTTAAGCATTTTCTTCACAATTTTACAAACGATATGTAATTTAACATCTTAGATTTTGATAAATCATTTCAAAATAAAGTACAGAAAAGAGATTTTTGTATCTTCAATTTGAATACCAAAATTGACAACAATTAACATTAAACGAAATTAACATAAAAATTTGAAAATTCTTTGCTAACTCAATTTAATTAATATATAGAATATCCAAATTAAATTTTTTGATACATATGTAAACATTAAATATTAAAGAACCAAACAAGATATTACGGAAGAATGAGCAAATTCAAATAAATTCTTTTATTTTAATAATCTATCTATCTATCAATATAAATGGAATGTCTGTTTGTTCGCTATACACTCCTAGGCTGTTCTACCAATTGCTTCGAAACTCGGCAGTTAAGTTTATATACTTCCAACTTAGATAATGTCGTAGGCCCACCCCAAAATATCTATTGCATTTCTGTAAATCGATTAATTTTTATCTGCACTCGATTTGCTGATTTACACGTAGCGCCATCTATTGGCAAAAATTAACAAAATAAACTAAATCCAATTCGATTAATGTTCACCTAGGTAGCCCCAATGGCGGCACTTCCGGCCGCCATCTTGTTTGCGGACGCTATGTCAACAGACAATATGGCTAACATCATAAATACTAATAAAACCGTATTGTAAAGAAAAAAAAAATACATTTTGTACTCACATTTAACACACTTCTATTTGTTTTATTTCTTCCTTTCCTTCGAACTTTAACATGATTATGCAAACTCTCCAGTAACTAGATCCTGTTTTATCTTACTCGACACTTTTCCCGTACTTTTGACCGACGTTTCTTCTTTCTTCCTCTTTCGATTTTCAGAGTTCTTCGGTTATTGTTTTCGTGGCATGAAGTCACAGTACCTGGCACAACGGAAGACACAATTTCATCGACGAGTCGCCTAGTTCCTTTCAAAACTTTCCATTTTCGTTTTTCCTTTTACTCACGACAGTTTCATCGATTTCGACAAATTTTCCGGGTCGAACATTTTTCATTTTGGATAAATTATACAACGAAATCATCAAAACGTATATCACGAATTTTGCAAAGTCGACAGCTGAATGAAAGCTCACACCCACATCCGAACCAGTCACGCTCAACGTACACTCTATGCAAATTAGATGCAATACGAAGGGGAAAAATAGTTCCCTATGAAAGTTTCCCCAAATTGACCATTATAGATTACGTCGATCGGCGAGGTGCTCATCTTGCACTTGTGACGTCGAAATAAAATTGAATCGCGATCCTTTCTGCAAATTAATTTACGACGACAATTGCATTTCATACAATCTGTATCTAGGAGTAAAGATCCAAACTTTAAGGCAAACTTATCATCTGACGAAATACTTTTATCAACATCTATTTCAGGACAATCTGATTGTAAATAATAAGAAAAATACGTGGAGGTCCACTTGTGCCATAAAATCGATTGTCTTTTAGGTTATTCCAACATTGCAACAATACAGATGAAGATATTAATTTTTAACAACGACAATTTTTTTATAAAAACTCAAAGAAATAAATTTGTAGTTATATAAATCAAATACTATAATATAATGTAGTAGAAGGATTAGAAGTACGAAATAACCTAATAATCTTAATCTTTCCTGCTGTTATTTTTTGCCCGAGCAATGCTGGGCTTATCTGCTAGTTATTTTATAGACCAAGTTCATTGGCCTACAATTTGAAAAACTTGTGGGCCTATAAATTCCTACTATTATTAGTCTGTTTGTCTACCTAATTGTCCTTTCTTAAAATCGAGAATGGTGTTAGATAGATGAAAGTCAAGACCAGATATTAAAAGTATACGAGCAGGAGGCTCCGATACAAACCGGAAGTCACGTTATTTTAATTCAAAATTTTTCTACAATAAATAATTGCTTGTTTGATATTAGGAATTAATTTAAATTTTGATTTATTAAATAATAAATTAAAACAATATGTTACAAATAAACAGATATTTCAGGAAAATTATTCACTGTCATTTCATTTCGTTTATTATATCTTATCCGAATGAATAAAAGATTGAACAACATTTATCGCATTGAAATTCTATTCTGTTTTCCTCAATATGTTATAGTCAATAACAAATAATTCACAAGTGACCAAACTTGCCTGAACTCACTCACTGTATATATTCTTTGCTCATAGGTCATAAGTTGATAGTACTTTTGAAACAGTTTTTTTTTCCATTTTAAACAAAGATTAATAGCATAGATGGGAATAATAAATATTGAATTTATTTAAATTGAGTGGTAAAAATTTTTTCACTATAATCTGTTCCAATTCCCTAGATCAGTGATACAACAACAATTTCATGGCACCCGCATTAAATCTGTAGAAAGTATTATTTTTTATAAATTATAAAAAATAAACTATTTGATATACTACAAAACTTGCATGTAAAATGTGAAAGTAGGATCCTAAAACAGTCGTAAAAAGTCTTATTAATTATGAACCTCAGATAGAAAAATTATCAAATAAACAACAACCAATTTCCCACTAAACGAAATATTTGTTTCTGTTATAATCACATTATTATTTCTTTCACTTATGTAGAGTTTAATACTATTTTCCTGATATATATTAAGAAGCTAAATAAAGTAAAACTTGTATTTTTCTTTATTTTTTATGATACTCGAATTAAATATTAGACCCACGATTTGGAGTTATTAAATTTCAAACTCTGATTGACCTTCGAAAAAATGTTTTTCATCGCTGCCCTAGATCGTAATTTTTTATTGTTTAGTATTGCAATTTACTTACTATTATAACGTTATTATTTCGTTACGCCCGTAACGAAAGGTTTTGTTAATATTAACAATATTATCGCCCCCTCCTATCGCTGGTCTCATTCTAGGTATACATTAATTATTAGGAAATTTTAATATTGCTTTTAAATTACTTTTCGATAAAGAGTAGATCCGCAAATAACACGTGATATCTATAACATCATTTTCCATTTGCCGTACAAAACAATAGTTTTAGCTCCCTATCGTAATGTAAGCAATATTTCTTTCACATTGCAATCAAATAACATTCGTCTAATAGAAATATACTACATAAAATTGTTAATTAATAATGGAATTTTATTTAAAAAAACTTTTCTACTATTCTCGTATTATGTCTACACTTACATCTAGCGATAGTAGAAACATTACGAAATTATTTGATGCCTAATAATTTAATCATCTAAAAATTTTGTTTGATATTAATATAAGGAGAAATCAGTTTTATTTTTTATGTGTAATATAAATAAATCTCGTTTCTATGCTTCTAAAAACTGAAAACAAAATTAATTTAATAGAATTAAAGTTAATAATACACTGAAAGCTTATAGTATTCACTCTATGTCGCAAACTTTTTGAAAGTTTTTTTTGTTTTAATGTTTCCATCACGTTTTGGAAACAGAGTTGCATTAAGCTTGATTCCACTTATAAGTTTCTAACAGCAGCGGCGAGTGGGGATGCAGTTACTATGGAAACAATTCCATAAAACATCTCTCTAGCGGCTAGTCGTGCCACTAAGGAAAATTCTGACGTGTTGAATATTTGTCACTACTGTTGATTTACTTCTTTGGTCAGCTAATAAAATAGTAGATTTTTTCACGCTCCAAAGTGCGACAGTTCATCTAATTGGTTATGTGTTGGCGTTTCTAATTGGTCCCTCTGCATAGCTGCAAACACCATCGCTTTCAATAAAATAGGCTTCTGTGTAGGCTATTTACTGCTGAACGTTCGTCGCAACCATTGGCGTTGTTGCTGAAAAATTGCAAGTGAAATCAGATCTTTCAGCGTTTACGTTTCACTTTTTTCATATCTGAGCATTTCGATGTTCAGCGATTTAAAAAAAAATCTAGCAACGAGTTGCAATGAGTTCCCTGCTGTTATGAGATTCTATTTAAAAAAAATAACTTTTATATTATTAATCCTAATAAATAAAATTGTGATTAGAGTCATTTGCTATGAGATTTTGTTATAGAAACTTTTTATATTATTAATTATTATAAAATGACAAAAAGTTTAATTTTGAGGGTGGAGATAATTTTCATTAAAAAAAATTGTAAATGCTAATAACGAGTAAAATCATTAAGTCCAACATCTCTAGAGATATAACACACGACTCCTCTGTATCTCTCCACCCATTCGACCTTTAAGCATCAAAATTTAATAGCATTAGTGCCCGTTATACACAAGCTACTGCAACAAATTTTGTTTCTAAATCTTTACTCCACCCCGACATATTAAGCAAAATAGATGCGAATATACAAACATATCCATAAAATTTTTTTGTATTTATACTGTTTTGAGTCTAGGGATGTCAAAAAGTGGAAATTTGCAATAAAAAAAATTCTATAGGGTCAAATTTTACACGATTCCAATACTTTCTGCATACGTAACAAGGGAAAAGTAATAGCATCAAAGAGAAAGAATCAGCATTATTATTTAAGTAAAATAGATTTTATTAGAATCAAGCGTCATGCGTATTGTTAATAATACTCATAATTAATAATTAATCTACTGGTGAAAGTCTAGTTTATAATTATTTTCGAAATAGCTTAGTAAACTTTCGTTATAAGAAAAATGAAGTAACCTTGAATGGTTCAAGGTTACTTTAATTTCCGAACAAGTGAGTGAAATTGTTCTGGCTTCTCATTAAAATAATTATTTGATTCAGGTACGAAACAAATCTGAAGCCATCAGAAACATTGTTAAAATTTCACAAATCGTATATTGAGAATAATTAATTCTTATTTTAGAAGAGTTTTTAGCATTTATAAAGAACTTCTTAACAATTATAATGATAGGGGAGATCGGGGCAAGATCGGCATGTTAAGATTTACTTAAATTTTGTGTAATAAATACTGCTGTAAACTGAAAAAAAAGCTTTGCATATTGTCTATTGGAATGTTACCTTACTATAGAACTGGTTAAAATCAGTTTGGAAATAAAAATAATTAAAATAATTACAACTTTACAAGAAGAGAGAAATTGACGAAGTTGCCCCGGGTATAGGGGCAAGATCGGCAACTTCTCTCTTTTTGTAAAGTTGTAATTATTTTAATTATTTTTATTAAAGTTGCCCCTGGTATAGGGGCAACAGTAATGGGGCAAGATAGGCACGTATATAAAATTATGTTATTAACAATGTATAAGTTGGAATTCACTATTAAAACAAAGAAATACAAATCCAACACCCATTTAATATTATTACAACGAAATGCAAGTTCAAAGACATATATACATGAATAACAAATGCAAACATGTTTTCATTTATCATCTGTTTGATTTTTATCCTTTGCTTCTAATGTGGCTTTATGTTGCCGATCTTACCCCGCTAGTCATGATTTCGAAACATTAAGTACAACCCTGAGAACAGAATGCCAAGCCACGATCTGGCCACGTGAATAAGTTGAAGTTACATCCTTCTAACAGGAAAAGTAACTTTCGTTATCATGGAATTATAACAAAACCTGCCAATTCAATATAAATGGAAAAAAAATATTATATGGAATTGAACGAAAATGAAAATTTGCTTGATAATTCAACTACGCTTGTTGGAGAACAATAAAAACACTACACTCAACAAGCCACCAATAAAACTCAACTGCCTAACCTATAACCAAAGTCTCCTTTTAATTTGTTTTTTAAAAAAAGCGCATGACAAACTTGCCCCGCATGCCGAAGTTGCCCCGATCTCCCCTAATTCAATTAATTTATAAATACATTACATATTTATTTTACAAAGTTTGTTTTACATATTAAATTTAATGTCCGCCTGCATGTAAATTAAGAAAATGAAAAGTGAATTATATAATTTTTCTTATTTTAAAATTACACACACTTATATATATTATACATTTACATTTCAAGATTAGTATTGTATGTGATCCAAGGAATATATTTAGATACTCTTGTGTATACACCTGGAAATCCAACTTTAGCACATTGATAACCAAAAGAAACAACGCCAACTACCATCCAAATGTTAGATTCATTTTCAACTAATAAAGGTCCACCAGAATCTCCCTTTTAAATAGTAATTAAATAAAAATTAGCATCATATTAAACTTTAATTTGTTAAATTTGAAAATTAATTTTTACTTGACAAGCATCTTTTCCTCCTTGGTTGACTCCTGCACAAATAAAATTCTCTGTGATGCCTCTCCTTAATGAAGATTGCCTTAATTTACTATAAGAAGCATTGCAATTTTTGTTTGACACAACATTAATTGTGACTTCCTGAAGAATTTCACTTGGTCGACCAGCTGAAAATAAAATAGTTATATTAATTATTTAAAACAGATACTATTTATTTATTCTGACTCTAGCTGAAGAACGAATTTATCAAACTTAAAAAAATGTCCGGTTTTAATTCTTTTTTAAAGCTCTAGTCTGTAAGTACAGTAAAATTAATTACGTTTAAATTAATTAAACAGTGAATTAAACATATGACGATTTCACTCTACATTAGCATTTATAAGTTTTTTTTTATAAAACCCTACCAAAAAGGTTAGTGATAAAATCACTAAAAGTGCTTAATTCTAGATCATATATGCAATAGTATTAATTAGTTTAAGTGAATCATTGCAATGAATTAATATAAATTAATGAGGATACTTCCAGAATAAAGGTTTATCAAACAATTTACGTTCTCATATAATATACTATTACTCTATATTACATGAGCTTATTACACTTATTACACTAACTTTCAATTACACTATATTATATGACACGTGTTCTATCAATATTAAAATTCTTAGTTTAAGAGTAAAAAAATGATTTTTAATCCAAAATAAAGTTTGAAGAACTCTTACTGAATAATGTATTTAACATTCAGAATACTTTTGAATTTTGATTGAGAGTACGAATTTAATCCGATTTAGAATTTTTAAATCTGTTTCTACTTAAAGAGAATTTAATTCTATTCAGGACATAAAAATAATTAAAATATTATTTAGTTAATGCTCTTTTCTTAAATTATACAGTATGTATATTATGTGAATTTACCATAAGAAGTATCTCCCCAGCCGAGAACAGTAGCTTTTTCGTTTAGATAATCCTTATTTTCAAATGGTAAACAGGCTGGCAAAACTGTTTCTTGAAAAATTATTGGTTCTTTTAATTTAAGTAACGCAATGTCGTCGTAGTATTGACCAACTTTATAACCCGGATGCAATATTACTTTGTCTAAATAATGATCAGATCCTTCATTTTTAAAAAGTCCTTTAGTTTTCACTATATATTCCGTTGCGGGCCTGAAACCATTACATACAAATTTTAGTTAGGTATTTATTTTATTACATAATATGAATGACATTTACTTGAGACCACTTTCTCCAAAACAGTGTGATGCTGTTAAAATGTACTGATCACTGATGATGCATCCGCCACAAAGATAACTTTCTCCAATAAAGGTTCTATAATGGATAGATACCTAAATTTAAAGAAAAATTCTATTAATTTCATATCAATTTTAGTATTTATAAACTTAATTATTATTACCATCCAAGGCCAAGAAAATAATTTTGCATTCCTTCCACCAGCGACTAACGAGACATCGAATTTCTGGCCCGGTATTCTAAATGTTGTTCCGTTTGGTTTCGTTGAAGTTATTAATTTTTTCCCACAAGCTATAATAAACTAATTAATTAATATGATATTTTAAAATAAAAATATTCAAATCAAAAATTATAATTTTGATCACCTGGTTTAATTGCAAAGTTACCAAAATCACCAATGGATGTAGAAGGACAACAAATAATCGGCACTTTGTTATTCCACGAACAGATTTTTGGTTTACTTTTACGAAAATTTGTTATAGTTTTGCAGTGCATAATTTCGGTACAGATTCCTCTATGTGTATAATTAACTTGGCATGATTCTCCCTCCTCAAAATTTTGTATGTTAAATATAATTCCAGGATTAAATGTCAAATCTGCTTACAAATATAAATTTTTAATTAAATTCATTCTTATATTTAAAAATATTTATTACAGAATATTNAAAAAAAAAATATATCCATATTCTCATAGTATTACTATTAAAACGATGATTCTTAGTTTTATCTGATACAAATTACTATAAATAAAGTATATATTTATTATTAATAATAAATTATAATTTACCTGGCGGTTTAAAACATATAAAAGTAAAAGTTTAGAAAAAAAATCTGTTAAACCGTCTTTACGGATTTAAAAACGCTTAAAAGGTTTTAAAATTAGCATAATTTGAATGTTTTTATAATGGTTAGAAAATTAAAAATAAAAAGCATTTTACGAGTCGAGGATATTCATCTAATAATTTACTATTGAAGAATTATAAAAGTAAAAGTTTAGAAAAAAAATCTGTTAAACCGTCTTTACGGATTTAAAAACGCTTAAAAGGTTTTAAAATTAGTATAATTTGAATGTTTTTATAAGAGATTTTTGTGAATCTTAGATGTACATTTACGATCAGAATTAAAAAAGCGTAATTTAATTTTATTCCTATAGTAAAGGAAAAATGACTCCAATGCGATATTACCTTGTAAAGGATTGGATTGGGTTGATGATACAAGGCAACGTAACACACGAGCGATTTGCCAAGGGAGAATGTCTCCCGGGAGGACTTTTTATAGGAAACTGGTCGCTATTTGGATGTTAGACACGTGAAGAAAACTCGGTAAATTACACGTGATCAACCCGTTGTCAGGCGCGACCAATTAACTACTAGTGTTCAGTGGTTTTTTCCACTTGGTTACTGATTGGGCTTGTTATAAATATGTTATCATATCCCAAAATTAAACAACAATTATTAATTTTATAAAAATTTTGTGAAAACTTATCTTAAAACTTAGATACGAGATTTTTTAAAAATATAAAAAAATATAATTAAAGATTAAGTGTTCGGAGCTCTCTGTGGTTGCAATTTGCCCGATAGGTCAAATCGCAACCATATTTAGTTTTCACACTTACCTGAATATGCGAATTCGATTTTTGGGAAAAATTTTCATTTAATATTCAGCCACTAAGATGAAATTTGGCGCTACTATTCCTTTAATTAATATGGGCATATTATATAGTCCTTTAACGAATTTCGGGAATTAAGAAACAAACTGAGGTAATTTTATTTCAATTACGATATGGAATTGACGGTCACATCAAAGATATGGCTCTTTATATCATCTACCATCATGTTCTAAAAACTTCATTCACTGAACAAAACGAAGTAGCCTAAACTTATTGCATATGTTGTGAAATTTGTTGTTCAAGTCAAGCTAGGTTGAGAACATTGAGAGTAACGCACGATTAGGCGATTGTTTACCTATCGAAGAATTGTGAAGAACATTTTGTGCTTTTAATACTCGAAATTTGTTATAAAAAGTATGTAATGTGCACATTAAGCGGAAAGTAACGCCAAATTTTTCCCTAACGGCTAAATTTTAAAATACATTACATTTTTTTCTACGATCGAAATCACACACCAATATCACAAATACAGGCTAATTTACCATAAAAAATCCTCCCCGGAGGCACTTTCCCCTTGGCATATTGCCCATGTGTTGCGTTATCACATTCCAAAAAAAAAAAAAAAAGAAAAATAAGATGATATTTTTAAATTTGAAAAAAATCGAGTATTTGTATTTTATACTAGGACAAATTATTGACTAAATCAATAATTAATTAGTCAATAAATAAAAAGAATTAGACTACTTTTCTATAAAGTGATAATTACTTACAACAACTAATTGAAATATTAAGAGATTAATTTCAATTCGAATGAGTGTCAAGAATGTTACTTCGTTTTTAATCCTCCTGTTAACTACGAAATTATTAAAATTATTCAAAACATTGGAAAAAAGACGAGTATAAAAATAATAAATTAAACATTTTCATTTCCTCGTTTATATATTTGACGAGAAGCCTTGACTTTACATGACAGCAAATGAAAACATTATGTTTTATATGAATGCATTCATTTTGTCACTTGGTTATTAAAATAAAATTTGCTAAAAAATTA